TTTAGTAGATTTGATTTGTAATATTTATTATGAAGTAGTTTTTCACAAGTGGAATATTCGAAAATTTGTTACATTGATGAAATTTTCACAAAAAACAATTTTTTGTGATAAGTATATTTAAATCCATTTAATGGAATGTTGTGTTACAATCATATAAGAAATTATAGAGTTAGTGTGTATGTAATCAATAATTCGAAGATTACACAAGATATCGAGAAGAAGGATTGCTGAACTTCTACAAATTTTCTTGTGACGATAGATTATTCTTATTAGTGCAATTTGATTTATTGAGTTGTAGAATATGTGAATATTTTCTAATATGAATTTCTATATTTAAAAAATTCAATCGTGAAAAATATTTATTAAATCAATGTATACCATTTCGGTGTCTACCAAGAATTATACGAATACCATCAAACATTCAACAAAGGGAATATCGAATATCGCAAATACATATATAACGAATGAATACACGATATCTGTTGAAACATAATCAGCCTTTTCCTTATAATATCACCACAATAATCTTGTTGCTATCAATTTGAAAAATTCGACAATTCAAGCGTTGGAATAGAAGTGGGTGGTTTTTTTGGGATCTACTTTTCTCCCAATAGAACAGTGTTGATACATTCAATTGATTTATCAAACAATATGCAGCCGTACGGAAGCAAAGGCCAAAAAAACCTATATAGAGAGAGAGAGAGAGAAATAATATGCAGATAATTTTTTGAACCATAACTATTTCAATTATTACTGAAAATGTTTTCCAGTTAATGTAGGCTGAATTATCACAGAATACTTCTTTCAATCTAAAATTTTATAACAATGACAGGACTGTCCTTAATATTTTATTTCTCATGAAACTCTACAATTGATTCTTATACATAAATATCAGTTTAGCTCCAGTTTATCTCTTAGGATCTCGAGGAAATATTGTATTATTATTATAGTTATATACACGAATCGTCTAAAAGGTAATAACAGGAAAATTGAAAGAGCTAGTAGAACAGTAACAGGATCGAAATTATTTCTAAGATATCGAGCGGCTAGCTTTGCCATAGAATATCGTCAAGGCATGTAGAGCACCGTACAATAAATATCAAATGATTTTCATCATTATACTGATTTCAGATCAATGCTTTTTACAAAACAGGATTACAAGAAGAGGCAACATTGAATGGTATTCACGGTCACCTAATCGATCACTTAAAAACTGAAATTAACGATGCGTACAAGTGTAAAAGTATATCAGAAGAGAGTGTACTCCTTCAATCAGAAATAGACGTGTCCTTACGTTTTACAAAGGTGTTGACTCAATTCTATTTTTCGTTTTCGATTGGCCATGGCCAGCCTGTTCAGGAATGTTCACTGCTCGTTGTCTTTCTTCGTTTCCGTCTCTAATTCATTCACTTCATATTTGGAACTGGTTCATCAGCAATGCTTTCTATATCACAAAAGTAATTTTATATTGCTACCATTGCTCCCTACATAAGTTGGTGAATTTCGATTAGTGAGCTGCTACTGGATTCTCATTCGCTTGTGATGCTATGCAATAATTGAGATAATTGGTCATTTCAGTAAGCACCGATGAACTCATTACCTTCAATTAGATCATCGATACCTCCTTGCCCATATTAAATATTTGCATTCTCCTACGAACATTGCTCAATAAAATATAATGTTATTTGTTCTCAGTAGTTTGAATGTTCAGAATGTTTAAACAAATTATTTCGTTTAATCGAGATTTACACTTTCCTGTGTTCAATTGTTCACTGTTCAATTTTCTGTCAACAAATATGACTCAAATAAATATTTAATGCCAAGATCTGAAATTCTATATTTTGTATCCATATCACAACAGACGAAGGATTTTTAGAATCTAAAGAGTTGTTGAGAAGTTGATACTTCTGCTTCTAGTTCATATGTCCTGGTTCTTCTGGTATTTTAGCACAGGGATGGTCATTTTGTACCTGTCTTTGATTTTCCGATAGTTGTATCTGATCTTCAGTTCATATCCTTTTTCATATTTTTTTTCGATAGAGATGCAAAATCAAAGTACCTAAATAATTTTGTCCTATTTAGAGGATTAAATTATAACTATTCGAATAGTTGATGGAATTTTTCACGTATCTTCTGCAATATATTCACTTGTTTTCCATTTCATCTATGAATATTCACAAATGATGGTGAAATTTGTGAAGTCTTTCACCTCTGAATATTTCATAAATTGATGGCCTATCATTAATCTATGGATATGAAAGGCCAACATTTGATTGAAATTTATATCTGTCTGTGTGCGGTTATCGGCATTCAGTGGTTTCAATTTCGATTCTTTCATTACGTATCACTAATGCCTTGCTTGACCAGGTTTATATAGAATTTTGCTAAAGAGATATACTCGAAGAATTTCTTTACTAAAATTTCATTTTTATCAACTAAATATCTTCATCAAGAATCTTTGTGAACAGGATTCCTATGGAAGTATTTCCTTAGTTTCTCCCTCTCTCCTGAACGAACGATATTTGGTCTATCTATTTAGCGAGAGAGAAAGACACAGAGAGAAGATTAGTAGATTCAATACTATGTATGTATGGTGTTGATACACTTTTGTTCAAGAATCTCCAGAAAACATTATCGCTGTGTCATCTGCATATGAGATTAGTGAGCTTTTGGTGTTTCTCAGTACTCCAATATTGTTTATATCAATTAGGAAGAGAATGGGACCCATCACCGTTCTTTGCGGTACGCCTATGATGATAGGAAGGGGTTACTAAAACAGTTTTTGATTTTCACTCTCTGAGTTCTATCCAGGAGATAATTTTGAAATGAATTAAGAAGAGAGCCTCTTATCCCCGATCTTTCCAATCTATGCAATGATATTTTGTGGTCCACGGTGTCAAACGCATTGGCCAGGCCTATAAATATTGTTAGGCACTTATTATTATCATCAAGATTAGTCAAGACTTCTTTCACCAATCTGAATATAGCCTGTTCTGCGGAACAGCCTTCTCGGAAACCAAATTGTGAGTTTGATAAAATATTATTGGATTCTAGTCATTGCATGAGGCGGACTTTCAACACTTTCTCGAATATTTTTGCAAAATTATTTATAACTGTGAGAAGATGAATAAACCTCTGAAAAAGCCATCCACTCGTACTACGACGGCCTTCAAACTCGAATGAAGATAGTAACCCTTCTTTATTTTTATAAATACTGCTCAACTGTATTTACTTCTTTTAACAAGCAGCCAAAGAGAATAACAAATAAATTTTATTCGGGACTATGATTACTGTTTTTACATTATGTACTTCTGGGAAATATATGAATCCTTATTATAACAATCCCTTACTCTTTTACTTTTTTGGGACCAATTATTAGTGAATTTGGGTGTATCTACATTTTTATCGTTCAGGATTATGAATACAAGTATCTGGATGATTTTCCCAAAATTGGTCGAAGAATGATTGAATTGAGGAGAACAGATTATACTAATAAGGGTTTGGTTGGATATGTGATGATATTTCTGAACGTTTATAACAAGATTACATGATTGATTTCGATTAGTAGGTAATGATTTGATTGATAGATTATTCACTTTTTCCAACATTCCTGAAAATATGAATTTTGGACTAATTTATAGCAAAAGCCTTCATTACTAGCACCAGCTGGAATATTTTAAAGATAAATATTCGAAAAAATATTTTCTGAATTTCAATACTACGCAGATTGAGGTATTACCCAATATCATTTACCCTTCAGTCGCTAAAATAGAGAAAAGAATTGAAATAACAACATGATTGTTGGACAATTTGTTTACGGATTCATCATTGGTAACTTCTTATTTCTAAAAATATTGTGGAATCTGACACTGACATGAGTGACTCACTGAATTAGCAACATATCACCAGAGCATCACGAGAGCTTAAAAGCTTTGTAGCCGATAAAATTCTCCTTAGCGACTGACTTGTTATTTTCACTGCACTTCATTTTATCTCGTTGAGTCGGTTAATGGAGGTTTCCTTCGTGCTAAATTTATGATCTCTGGAAAATAAAGAGCACTGAGATAAAATACTATCAGAGAAAGCTTTCGTCATTCGATACGGCTCAGTTGGATTTACTTTTCACTTCGCATTCTGTTTCAATCCATATCCACACTGTTGTTGAGAAATGAGAAGTTTCCAGTTTCAAACAATTTTATAACTATGACCAATTATTTCTAATCAAATCCTTGATGATGAGTTTGGAAACATTCACTACAGAGTGAGTCACAGGATAAAGAATAATTGATTGAATGAATGGTTGTAGTGGTTTTCCAAAAAGAAATTACTCTTTTTTTTATCCATCACAGAGAAAAAAACTATAGCTTAACATAATACATAATTTTCCGATAGTATCGATTGCAGGAGATCAATTTCCTGTTAACGAAATTATTTATTTCCATTGTATGATGTGAATTATTCATCAAAATATGTCACTAGAAAGTGGCAATGTTTCATTTGAGATGCATATCTGAAAATAATAGTGAAATGAAAGCCAAGTTCTAATTTTCACTGGCGACAGAATCTAATATAATATATCTACTGAGATAAATTCAATACACATCCTTATCAAATGTATCCTTACATTTCATTAGTTTGAACTTCCATTGTCCAATATGATATAAAATGATTTGAAATCCCTGAAGGAATCAATAAAATTGAAAAGATCAGCAAGAAGAATAGCAGTAGTAACTGAGCAAAAAAGAACTTAAATTACAATGAAATAAAATACAAGCAACAATTAACAACTGAACAATTAACAATAAATGGAAATTAAAAACAAAAGATTTCAAGCCAAGTTACTTCACGACGTTTTCATTGTCAGTATCCACAATCGTCTTGGGGTAATGACTGTTGTGGATACTGATAATCGAAACGTCGTGAAGTAACCTCTCTTGAAATCTTTCAATTTTTAAAAAGAAGGATGAGGGTTTCTTTCAAGATGGAGTAGTAGAAAGCCAAAAACTCTCTTTCCCAGAAATTAGTCACTCCTAGTCCACCTAACAAATTAGATCATTATACCAATAATGTCAGACTTTCACGACCAAGTAACATTCAAAGAGAACAAAATTTGGGCTGGTAGACTGACCTAGAAATTGTTGTAACAAGCATTTTTCGTCTGCATCTGTGGCAGACATCATCAGTTGTACGTCCGTTGACTACGAGGACGAAACTTATATCTCGAAGTCTCTGCAACGACTGACTAGAGATCTCCGTGTTCACTTGTATTTATAACTTCAGAAGGCTGAGGGCTGTTCTGATTGACGTTGACTGCAATACATGTCTTAATATTGTCACATTGTGACTGGATTGTAATCGAAGTTGACTTATTCCTTCCACTGAGTTGAAGAGCACGTTTATTTTCTTGCGCTGTGAACCTATTTGCCGATAGAGCTTGATCTAGTTGAGAAAGTTCTTCTTCAAGAATATTTGGCACACAAATTCTGGTAGTACGATCATAACACGTTTTTCCTTGAATGTTGGTTTGAATTCTTGTTGAGAAACTAATCGGTAGGACTATGTTTGCGATAAACTATATGACCTAGTTTTCTGTCAATTTTTTGTTGATCAGTACATTCAATTTTTTTTCCTTTTCAAGGTAAACTAGACGCAAGGATGAACTGAGTTGATGTGGCGCAGAAACTAATCTGGAACTTATTCTCTGTAGCTTCGTAGCTTCAGATAACAAAACGGTCACCACGACCTACCAGCCCGGATTTTGTTTTCTTCAATAATATTAGTTATGTTATCACAATCGTTTTCTCAGTATTTTGCTATGATTAAAAAAAAAGACTTTTTCCTGTACCTGTCAATATAAGGGTCTACTCTGTTGATTATAACGACCTAGGGCGTTATGGCGACCATTACAGTAGTAGGAATAGTATTGTTATGAGAATTCGATAGGTATGAATTAATGTATCGAATACATACAGATATGCATATTCTGAATTTGTTTTACTTGTTTTGGTTTTGAAAAGTGTAGAAATTTAAAAAAAAATATTCAGAATGACTTTCGTAAATAAAATGCCGTAAAAATTTCACTCCATTTTCATCTATCACTGTTAGCGAAAAACGGTAAACCTGAAGCACACTCGTTTGAGTCACAAATATTTTGGACAAGTTAGTTAGGGATATGTAAGACGAATAAAAAAAATATAATTCCTTGAATTTTTGTGATTTCATGCTTCATATTACGACTCACTTCGTTAGTAAATGAATACAGATGTATACTATGTGAGTACCTGCATTCAATATATCAAATTGGAATATTCAGTGAGTGATTTTTTCAAACATCACATCTTCATTTCTTGACAATGCCAGTTTACGAGTATTTCATATTTGTATCGGTTATTGATGAAAGATGAATCCTAGTAATTCCAAATTTGGAAGTGCAACAGTAAATATTAGAATGATTTGACTATTATTTCAATTCTTTCGTTTGTGCTCTAGTTCTAACTTCAATTGCAAAAATGAATTCCCTCTAGATGCTGAGGACTGGCAGAGTAGAAGTATAAAAATTTAAGATTAATAATGCATTTCTTCACAAACTTCACACTTTCAACTCATCATCCATAGACTGGTAAACTATTCACACCCCTGGATTTTGAATTTGGTCGAATTGAACTAATCAATTTCAGTACTGCCTTGAGTTGAAACTGTACTGCCGTCCATTGACTAATAACTCCCTCGTTTCCGAAGGGGTGCCTGGGCTCAAGCTAGCAGTAGTGGTTGTCGAAATGGTTTCTCTCAACTCTAAACGACGGAGATCTCCTATTTCCTTCTCACTGATGTCTTCCTCCAGAATTTTTTCAAGGTAGACATCACCGTTGATGGCATTAGAAGGTGGGATTTTCGTATGAGGTGAATGAGTGGGAGTTATTTCAGAAATACCTCTGGTTTTCTCTTCTCTCTGCTTCTCCAAGTGTCTTTTATGATTCTTCGTTGTTAAACAGCCGGTTTCTACATCTCTCTCCAGTCTGTGGCCGCTTCGTGAACGTGTGAGTTGCCTAGCGACGTAATCCTGCAGCTCATCCTCCTCTCTCTTGCTCACAACTTTATTCAAAACAATGAGGAATACACCTATGGAGCTCACAAAAATTCCAGTTACTACGAGCTCGTTCCAGTATCCTCCACCTCTCCAAGTAACCAGGTCGTCTGGTAATAGACCAGAACCAATCAAGAAGAGCCCCAGAACGACAAAGCATACTCCTAGATGGAGTATTCCAATGGACGTGGCAAAAACGTGATCCTTTGGAGGTTGGAAACTGCCTCTTCTGGGGGCATGCTCCATGCTATCCATACTATTCGTTCTGGTACTGTATCTCCTCTCGGCGGCCCTTTTCTTTGCTTGCTCTCTGAGTCGCCTCTGCCGTTTGATAGCCAGGGCTGAATGAAGACCGGCTGACCCGTGCATCTGGAAGCCACATGGAATATCAGTTTTTGTGTCTCCATAGAGATAAAACTTGCATGCACTTCACAAACAACACAGCACTGCCACAAGCACTGCACTGAACACAAGCACTGTCAAAAATAAGGTCCCAATGTTTTTGGTTGTCGCTCAGGACGACTATTACTATGAAAAATTATGTTGTTAACTTCTACTATCACTCCTGAAGAATGTGAGTGGTCAAGTTAACACAAAAATATACATTTGTACCATCAAAAAAAAATCACAGCCGATATACACAATATCGAATTCCAGGTAATTTCAGAAACTTGAAAAATAAGTTTAATCAGTGACCTTTTTCCCCATAATTTTGCCAAACAGCACCAAAGTTCATGAAAATTTCGATTCAGGTACTCAATACTTCAAAGTTGACCTTGTATCGGAGATTGCTTCCAAGGAAATGGATGCCACCCTTCTTGGAGATGAAAAATGTATCTTTCAGAAAATGTATCCTGAATTGTATAGATAGACTAATTAAAAGCAACATTTGTTAATCAGAGGTTTTTCGAAAGTCTATACTCTTCGACAACAAAAGTTGGTATTTTATCGAAAGAATCATTCTGAGTGGAAATGTAGCTTATAAAAAGATATAATGAATTGTGGGTTTATAATGAACACATTACAAACGAATCGTTGATTGTTTCATTGTGGAATTCACGAAACTTTCAACGTGAATTAAGCAAAAACTGATAAATTTTTTCCAGAGAAACTAATGAGAAAGTTTTTAAAGTGTTTGGGAAAACTTTCGGTTTTATTTTTCATGGGAGTCTCTAGTATACAAAGTGAGCAAATCATCAGGAAAATAATGCTGTTCCCTATTTTTGTGATCTATACAATTCAAACTGTAGTATGAAGTTTGATCGGTTTGATTGGTTTAAAGAACTCAGTCTTGAAAAAGTTGAAACTTGAAGTGGAAAGAGCATTTTTGTAATTTTGTAACTTGAAAATTATCAATGACACACACAATATAGATATAATGTGTATCCACCAATACTACATCAGATTGTTTTTGAATTATGTGAAATGGTGATGATCATTTTCATTAGTGGTGCGGTAGTTAGGAAAATATTTTCACATATGTATGTTGCCGAAAAGGATAGTGACCAAAATTATTTATGTCATAATCAGCTTAGTTTTGATGCTAGGGATTTTTTATGAAATTCAAATTGTGGTTCTTCCGGCATTTTGGAAAAATATATTGGTTTTCGATTACTTCATGTTTTCGATCATGAAATTTGACGAAGAACTAACCATCAATAAGTTATTTTACTCTGAATCTACAAACACCACACATCACCTATCCTTTTTATTTTCATTACGCGTATTTTTACCAACGATGATGTTTTTCGATAAAGTATTTACTTTTTTGAGTTATTCGCGAAAAAACTCTGATAACTTAGTTTTATTGACGGAGAAATTGATACTATCACTCGTAAATGAGTTGAAAAATATTTACTTACTGAAAAGGGGTTGTATACATTTTCAAAGTTAAAGGAAACCTCGGTACAGGATCAACTATGAAGTAGAGGATAAGTTGAAACTAACAGCAAATTTGGCACAATATTACAGTAACTATACCCTTCAATGATGTGGCTTTATGTGAATGATTAAAGTTATAAATTATTGTATAGATTTGGCAGGTTGTCACTTTTATATATTCATTGTGGAATTCACGAAAACCATTATGCTAGTAGAAGTAAGAAGTACTTGAAACAAATCTGACACTGAAGAAATTTGTTCACAATGAAAACTCGGGTGGCATTCGAAGTGAAAAGAGTGTTTAACAAGGAAATAAACGCAGTAAATATTCATTTAGCAAAAAAGTATGTATGTTATGAAAGAATATCCGCGATCATAACGGATTATTTTTCATTTCCATTACAAAAACCCTTCAGTGTTCAAATTTGGAAAGCAATTCCAAAAAAAGATTATTAACGGTTTGTAATTCAAGAAAAAAATTTTTTACCAAACTTTGAATTGAAAATATAATGAAGCTATATTCTATTTTCAGTGAGGACTAAAGAACAGCATTATTGTTTTTGATACAAAACACAACACTACAGGATAATCCTCTTGGAGCGGTGCCTGTGCGAAAGTCGGGATTGACATTGGATTTGAATCGCTGAAGAATACATCCATTTGGAAAAACGTTCTCAGGAAGTTTATTCCACAGATACGCAGTTCTTCAAATAAGAGGGTTCTCAAACAGTGAAGTTCGAGGTGTACTGAGTTGAACCTCGAAACGACGAGCAGCCACAGTTCGTCGCGTATTTCTGATGGTAGAATAAAAAGTGCCAAGTCACTTGAACACTTTCCGTGAAAGTATATATAGGAGAATGACAAATCCCCAACCTTTCTTCGATGTTCCAGACTATCAAGGTTGCAAGTGATGTTCGCGTCTCCAATCAGGCGGATGGCTCTTTTCTGGATGGAATCCAGCAGCTTCAGGGTATGTTTGGGGGCGAAGCTCCATATATGACAACAATATTCCAAAGAAAGTCTGATCTGAGCTTTATGAAGCATCAAAAGTTGATGAAGTGTCTACAGTTCTTTGGTTTGGAACAGTGTTCTGATCTTTTGAGAAGCAGCCTTTGCAATTCAAGACATATTGGTGTCTATTTCAACCTCCAACAATCTTATCGAAGCAGAAAGCGGTATTATCAGTCCTGACATCATTATATCCGGTTCGGAGACATTTATCTTTTCGGAGAAAATCGATGCCTGGGTTTTTGTGGCATTGAATTGAACCTGGTTAGTTTCACCCCAATTCGAAGTCACTTTTAGGTCCTCATCAGAATATGCAACCTACTGCTGCCGGGGAAGATGTGCATCCGCAGCCGATGTCATGGAATCCAAATGGAATGACGAGACAAGTGTCGTCAGCAAGGCAATATATTGAATTCTTCGTTTTTTCCACTGAGTCATTGATATACAATGTGGACAATGTGGATCCCTGTGCAACACAGGCACAGGCACCTCTCTGAGAGCGCCTCAAGTAATTTCCTGTAGTGCTATTGTTTTGTACTTAAAAAAAACAGCGTTGAGGGTAAAAGAATTCGAGAGATATCCATCGACGGCCATTTTTGCAGGGAACGTTCTTTCAGAAAGCTGGGGAGTCATACACAAAAATGATTCCAGAAGCCATTTAAACTCTAAACTTTGTCCTACATTCGAAGATTCAACAAATCGACATCCATATAACACAGCGAAATATTCTCATCCCAAGTCTCGATGATAATAGGAAATTCGATTTTATCAATTGATTATATCAAATTTACTGAAAAGAAAAATAGGTGAAGAAGAAATACTATTTCCTCATGAAACGTACCTAAGTATAGTGAATTTTCCAAAAGAAACTCTTCTCAGAAGAATAGTCCATTACTTTTAGGAGGTCTTTTGAGAATTGCTTGGGGAAATCATTTGTCCCACTAAAACAACTACAGTAGACTGAAGAGAAATACTTCAGAATGAAAATAAAACTATTTCTGGCATGACTTCAGGAGAGTAACAATATAATTACCAATTTCAAAAAATATTCTGAATTATACAATTAGAGTTTTTAATGATAGTTATTTGCACACTAACTCTACATAATATTATGGGTTCATTTGTGGAAATTGATTTAATAAGATGATTTTGAATGAACGAGTTGGGTTTTTTATAGTGTTTGAAAGTTAAACCAGGTGTATCAACAGTGCGTGTGTGGAGGATAGTTGCTTTTGTATTTGAGATACTTATGTAATCAATAAAATACAGGGTGGAACATAAGTACGTTTAGATATTCTGGTGTCGTATTCCTGAGACAATTTACAAAAAGTCTATAGAAACTTGTGTCCGAAAATGCTTCGTTTCGGAGATATAGGATGTTGAAATTGAATTTTTTGTTTGTTTTTTAAAAATAACGTTTGTGAAAAATTAGTTATTTGCACGAAATTTGTGCCCGAGGTATTATGACGTGGGAAATCATAATTTAGAATTAGGTTTCATTTAACAGAGGGCGCTACGTACGCTGTCATTTTTTATTTTGAATTGCCCTAACTTTTTGACAGCAAACTTTTGGTATTTTTCATGACAAAACCCAATCTCACACCTTTTCCAAGTGAAAAAGGTACACTTCCTCAACAACGCTGAAGGCGATCGTTTTCAAAATATTTACAACTTTCTATATCGATGCGTATTACTTAGCTTCTAGGGCGCTAAGTAAAGTTGTCGGACACAAGTTCACATAGACTTTTTTTCTTGAAATTGTCTCGGGAATACGTCGCTTGAATATTTTGAGGTACCCATGTTACATCCTGTATATGGAGAGCAACGAGAGCAATGTTTCAAAAATAACTACCAACATACTGGGTGTCCAATGGATATGTAAAGTATCAGAGTAAGTTTTGTGTACATCTGAAACAACGTTCTTCAAACATATAGGAATGTATGGATTTCATACTGGATAATTTGAATTTTATGGAAAACTTTATATCTTATAGTGGGTTTATTCAATACCAAATGTCTCAATGTCGATCATTTGAAATGAAAAAAGTTTTTCACCAAATGATAGTGTACTTTTACTTTCTCCTTAGAATAAAAATAGTAATAATACTAATCAAAATAATGAAGTCGTCATGATTTCGGATATCCTTCTCTGCATGAGCCGCATCCATGAGAGAGCAGAAATTGGAACATTTCCCTCAAGGGTAGCTGCCAGCGAGGCGTCTGAGACCTGAGCACTTGCTGTCAGCATGTACAGCATATACGGTATCAGCCTATATCCATCGACACAAAGTGGTTCTTAAAGTGTTTAATGACCACCTACGGCACTTTCACGGTATTGGCAAGACACCGGTGTTGCTCTACGCTCCGGTGGATATTGAATCCGTTGTGGGGAATGAGAAATACCGAATTCATTGGAACTATTTGTTCTCCACCCTCAAGCTCATACAAGCTAATGAACCTAATGTAGTTTTTCTCGACCA